AAAGCAGAAGTAGGAGAATGGCTGGAATATAGATTGTTACTTACAAAACTGGCATTCAGATTGAATCTCCCATAGAAGCTGTTAAAGGTATATAACTCAGGTGAGACCTTTAAGAGGTGATTGGAGCTCTTTCCTCAATAACAGATTAATCTGTTCACCTGATTAATATGTGAAGGGGTTTGGTTGGGTTGCTCAGACACTTTGACTCTGGCAATACGATGCTTTGCTCTACCTCAGAATTCTGTCACCAGATGTAGCCCTTCAACCTCAGTCACAGCCATGAGAATATTAAGTTATTCATAATATAAGCCAGAGAGAGGGAGGGGGAAACAATGAAGGAATAAGGGACTAACACATCTACAGGAGATAGCCAGAAGATTCCAACATAAGAAGAAGAAAAAGTCAGAAAGAATGCAAATATATTCAACCACAATCTCTAACTTTGGAATGCTAATTATCCAATACTGAAATAAGGGCTCTGGAATACAAATTACTCAACATTAAAATAAGTGCTTGCAAAAAATGCAAAGACTTTTTATATTAATCTAATGTAAAAGCTTTCATTTCACAGGACTAAGAAAATGATGAGTGAGTCTAAATATTACATTCAAAACTAGAAGCTTGGGTATGTCAGAGCAAAGCCCAGGTCACGGCTCTCTCCGCTGCGCTCTCCACCACAGCACTAATACCTTCCTTGGGTGGCTTAACTCAAGTGTTGGTAAAAGAGATAACATAGACTACAAACAGTATTCAGAATTCAACACTTTAAAAATGTGTATCTAATATTGATACAGTTCAAATAAGTGTGTGTGAAAGATGGGGGGCAGGAAGAGAGTGAGAGGGGGAGAGACTAAAGCACAGTTAAGTACGAGATATTGTTTAACAGGAAAGGGTCTAAAACCCCAAAATAAATGTCTAATAAAAGTGCACCATTTGCTTTCATTAAGTTTCTTATGATGATTAATCAATTGTATAAAATACATCTATTGGACTGGGAATGTGGCATAATGGTAGAGTGCTTGCCTAGCATGCATGAAGCCCTGCTGGGTTCAATTCCTTGCTTAACTTCAGAATACGGATAGAAAATGGAATTACTAAAAATGTGGACAGAAAAAAGCATTATCAGAGTCTCCTAACATGTTTGTCCCTTTCAGATATTATTTCTTCAAGAAACTATTGAATAAATTTAACCTGGCAACTTCAACATAGTGAAACCCAAGAAAAATCAGTGGGTATTGACTTTGAGTATATATTTTAGTCTTTTTGAACCACACCCACTGATAAGTAACATGGAATTCTTCCTACAGTGATACTTACAATCCTGTCCACACCTGTCTACATCATACCTCAATATTCAACAGATATTCAACCAGTCACAATGCAAAGGCAAGTAGACCTTATAAAAATAATGATTAAAAATCTTTCTTTTCTCTTATTAAATTGAAGAATTTCAACATATAAATACAGAAGGAAGTTGAAAATTAGAACATCATTCATTGGACACCACAGGAGATAAGTGCTGCAGGAAAATTGTTAACCTTAGTTGGTGAAAGTTTGCAAAGAAAGAGGATGCTATCATAGTCTCAAAGATTTTATCCCACGATATTTATTATTAATCAAGGGAAGAATATTAGCTTTGAAATAGAGAATCATGATTAAGGCTAATATAAACAATAATGTGATGAACGCCCCTGATAACATGTACCTAACAGGACACCATCAGTCATGGCCACTGAAAGACACAATTTTGGAACATGAAGGTCTTAAATCTTCACAACTTCCCTATTCAACAATGCTATCTTTTCTAGTTGAAAGTCTGATGGAGACATACAACTGAAGAGATGAATATGGTAAGTCCCAGGATCCTAAGTGGAGCGAAGCAATGCTGGAAGAAAGCTCAGAAGGGCTACAATGGGACACATCCAGACATTTAAGGTCTCCTATGCCCAACACTGCATGTTGTGCAGCCTGACGAGGCTCTGTAAGCCATTTTGACATGTGATGGTCACAAGAGTCATCCATGAATTCGGTCACAGTTTATATAACTGACTTAAGAGAACATTATGTTGAGAAGTTTGTGAAAAGCCAGAAAAAGTACATAATACAGTTATTAGTGACACAAAACTCTTGCTTGAAAACTTGAATGATGACACTTCTGAGTGACTATTATTTCCAAGCCCTGTGTAAACTGGGTACAATGATGCATCCCAGCACTTAGGAGGCTGAAGTAGGAGAATCTTGAGTTCAATGCCATTCTGGGCCACATGGTTAGACATTTAGAAAAAACAAACAAAACTGTGGTGTGTGTGTGTTCTACATTTAATATTTATTTGTAAACTGACAGCTTCACATCTGAGACTTTTCTGTCTTTTCTATCACTTTAAGGAATATAGGTAATTATTTTCTACCAAGCTCAAGACTACTTCTGCACTATGCAAAAATGTTTAATAACCAAGGAAAAGAAAAGAAAGAATTGTCACTAAAGACACTACTAAACTTATGAGATCACTATAAATACTCTTTCTCATCAATGGCTTTAACACTGGGGAGAAAAGTCTATGGTATCAAGAATTTTCTTTTGATCATATCTGAAAGAAAATTTCATACTATATTTCTTCCTCCTAGATAGAATAATAAGCAATAAAATTGCTATCAGGGAAAGAGCTTACAAACTGAAACTATTATAAAGGTCAAATAAGTGCAGACAAGAATGAACTACATCTGGTTCAGGATGAAGGAAAATGGAAGTTGGTGCTAACATAGCTAAATTTTGAGTAACTAAATTGCTAAATAAACACCAATAAATAGTAAGGCTACATGTATACATTAATTTACACTGTCTACAATAAACCTACTGATAATGTGGTCATAAATGTGTTGGGTCCAAGACAAAGAAAATTAAATCACTCAAAGAAAGTATGACTTTGTTTAGAAAGGTACTTATGGTCTTCTGATCACAGGACTTATTTGTGAGACTCCACCTGTACCATGTTCTAAAAGTCTCTGACCCCAAAAACATTAAAACAGAATCCTCAATGCGATAGTGTTAAGATCTGTAGTCAGGGAGGTAATTAGGTATTGAAGGGTACCTTCCTTGTGACTATGATTACTGCCCATAAAAAAGAGGCCCCAGAGAGTTGGCTTGCCCATTCTCTTATATTCTCCAAATAAAGAGAACTACTGGCCCTTGACAAATGCCAAATCTGCCAGGGCCTTGATCTTAGAATTCCCAGCATCTAGAAATGTGAGAAATAAATATCTATTGCTTACAAGCCATTTATTCTATGGGAATTTTGTTACAATAGCCCAAATGGACTAAGAAGAAAACCTATTATTCCATGCCTAGGTTTTCCAGAAATATCTACTTTGAATTCTGACCCCTTTTATTATAATATGAGTAAGCACATAATTGAAAGATGGTGATATCTCTTTATAAAATTTTAGGGATAGACAAGTTAGTGTCTTATAAATTAATAACAGTATCACACATATTTGTAATTCTGTTATATTCTAAAAAACATTGACTCATTAAATATAGCATTTAAATATATATTAAATATAGATTTGTATAAGGGTCAGGCACATTCTTCAGCCACCCTTCTTCTGGCTCAAGTTACTGGATGAATTGTAAGGCTTAAAGAGCAACAGATTGTGCCTCAAAGGGAAGATTTAGAAATATTAATGTGTATCTTTATCATGTTAATAGGATCAAGTTTTTCATGAGCATGATATAGGACTAATCTGAAAACTCACTTATTATTTTTTCTCCAAAAGTAAATCTAACCAACAGCAAGGCTTTTCTAAATCTCATCCACAGGGTTTCCACGGATACAAATTTATAAGATCCTATTTCAGGGCATATTAATGTCTGAAGGATTTCATTCCACAAAAGTCTAAAAACCAAAAAGCTATACTTTTGAGTGAAGAGGTTGGAAAAATATGTAAAATTATATAGCATAAGAGATGCATATGTCCATAAAATACGATATGTATAATCATAATATATTATACTTACATATGTATTTGTAAAACTTGTCTCAAATATAACAAAGGACAATGCTTTGATAATCATGAAATTAGCAAAACTATGATAACTAAAATAGAAATCTATGTCAGAATCTGAAGTATCTTATGGCATCAAAAGATAACTGAAATGAGACCATGATATTAATTTTCTTCTAAAGATGCCTAATTCTTAAATGGGTAAATGCCTAACAAATCACAGGAAGACAGAAATGCTTTGAACTCAAAATTGTAATGGATATATGCATGTATACACATATAAACTGCCATTTTCAAACCAAAATAGTTGTTTGCTCGTCTGCTTTCATGATTAAAAGCAGTTATTTACGAGTTTGCATTTGCATGCATAATGTTTTATACTAACACACCTACTAGAAGGAAGCACAGTCATATGTTCCAACTTTGAAGATAAAAGAAAAAGGCTCATAGCCTAAATGAGTCACCTGAGGCCATTTACCTTTTAGATGGCACTGAACAACTTTTCAGGCCCTCAAGTTACAGACATTGTTTTGTGAAAAACTATACCAAAGCATTGTGTTAGACTCTGAAAGAACTCTAAGAAGAGTATGATCTAGATTCTTTCTTTGAAAGCATAGAGACTTTCAAAACTCATAAAGATAAAAAGTCTGTTTTATTAATTAGCAAGTCATAAAAGCAATGCTTTTCCAAAGGGAAGAATAAACAAAGAGACCCTCAGGTATGCATTTGAACCAGAAGACAGAAACTATGCACAGAGGCCGGAGTCAAACAACTCCAAAGAGCGCTACAATTCTCCTACACTGTATAATCAGTCTGCCCACAAAACTGTGAAATAGGTCGGATCAGCCCTCATTTCCAGTCTCACACTTTTAGAATTCCTCAGCCTTTCACAGAATGTTAATGAGGATGCTGGAAACGACTTATTGCCAATAGTAATGAATGTTTCTCTTTTTAATACTGGTAAAGAATTTCAATTATAATCAGGAAAATGAACTTACTTCGAGAGAGATTCTCAAGGGCTTTCCCCAGCTTCTTGCTCTCTTGAAGGATGTGGTTCAGTTCATCAAAATCACAGCTTTCTGTTTTAGTCCGCCAGTTCCACTTAGGATGCTCTACTGACCTTGGCACTATGTTTAAAAAAAATGGTTATTTCATAAGTATACTGCATAATGATACCAACTCACTATTCATCATATGTGAAGATCAATGTGCAAGAATAAAAAATGGTTTACTTCAGCAAACAGAAGAGAAGATTTGAAGTTGAGTGTAAAGAGAATGTTTTAAATGAATGAGTGAAGGGAAGTATGGATGCATTTATGGAAAAAAAGAGAAATTCAGAAATTGATTTGGAATGAATCATTTCTGTGACTTAGGATAAAACATGCAGAAAACTTACTGTGCAATGTTATCAGCTTAAAAATAATTCCTGAATTTATGAACAATTAGCAAAACTGTAGAAACATCTACGTCTTCTAAAAACAAAAAGAGACTAAATGTATGCATTATCTCTCAGTTCTTCCAAATTCCCCCAAACTTATTTTTTCCTCTCAAATAATTGGTTGAACAAAGAGAAAAGACATTATAAAGTGAGAGATTTTTTTTGTTGTTGTTTTTGTTGTTGTTTGAAGATAGAAAATGATTCATGAGTGAATTTGGTATTATAGAAAATAATGAAAACTATGTCCCTGAGTCCTAGAAGAGAGAGACGCTAAGGAAGAGGAAGTAAACAGTTCACACTATTTGAATAGTAAAGCATCAGCCCTAGAGAACAATGTTAAAGCAATAAAGATATAAGAAGCTAAGTGTTCTCTAGATTTAGAAAGAATATCAAGTATTCATCACAATTCAAAGCTTATTGTCTTAAAAGTTAAAGATTATAAAAGCAGTCATGGACAAAAAACCAAACAAATTAATATCAGCAATACTCATGATAGAAAACATAAGATTACTTATAACTATATACCACCCTAGAAACTAGTCAAGATACTTAAAGAATTTATCTCAGGAGTCTTTTTTCCTAGAAAGTTTCTAAAGAAGATACTCCAGCAAAATGAGCTAGTTCAACAAAAAAATTTTCAAGAATTGAATGCCATGAATAGGTGATGTTTCCAAAAAGAAAAGAAAAAGTGATTTCTCAAATGAAGGATCATCTCAAGAAACAACTGAGGAATGTCTAGAAGCCACGTAGACAAGAACAGAGTAAGAGGAGGGAAAGGGACAAACAGAGAGGTCCATATAACTTTCCTGAATGAAATAAAAGTAAAATACAAAATAACAGAAGATAGCAAAATACTTGATGTGTTTGATCATGTTGAGAAGGATTAATTTTGGGGATAGGATTTGATGGAAGCATTAGTGATGGCTGCATAGAAGACAGCAAACAATGAAAAAAGCATTCTTAATTCTAGATGATATAACAGCTGGACACTGAATGGCTTAATGGTTAAACAAATTAATTATTCTAGTCAATCAATGTGAAGGATAAATTTAACCAACATTTGAAGTAACTGCATTAATATACTCTCATGATGTGATAGGCATTAATATATAAGCCAGAAAATATGAAGGAAGTTGAGGTGTGATGCATAAATTGAAAAGTAAGCACTATTAGTACTTTGTGTGTTCACCAATATCAACTTCTGACCCCAAACAAACACCTAGGAGAGTTGAAAATAACTCAATGTTAATTACAGAGTTGGAGAGAAAAGAGGACAGTATTGTCTGATAGTGTTACTTTATTTTTAATATAATGTACATTTTGTTTTGTCAAAAATCAAATAAACTAATTTCTTGAAATGTTTATATGGAACTGGGTGCCAATAACTCATGCCTGTAATTCTAGCTACTCAGGAAGCTGAGATTTGCAGGATCATGGGTTGAAGACAGTCTAGGCAGAAATGTCTGCAAAACTCCATCTCCAATTAACCAGCAAATAATGGGCTGGCAGGATGAGTCAAGTGATGGACTACAAATTGTGAGCAAGAAAACTGATCTAGTACAAGTTCCTTAGATCAAGTCAAAGATCTGGTAAACGAGCGCGCGCACACACACACACACACATTTATATGGTAAGGTTATAGAAATAGTTTCAGACTGTTGAGATATAACATTCTGTCAGCTTTTATAAAAGTGATCAGATAATATCAGTTACAAAAATACACAAGAACCCAATTATCCATCAATCTTACATATGTAAGTAATAAGTAAAATGAAAATACCTATCCTTGTATAAAATTGTTCATTTTGACACAAAGGGCATGATTTGTACTTGTTTATTTCAGTAAGTAGTTTGTGGTGGCATAACCCTAGAAATCATCTAAACATCCTTGACCTAAGGAATGGTCACTAATTTATAACACAGTTATACTATGCCACAACATCCAACTACTGAAAAGTCTAAGTTGAAGGTAAGTTTAATTCCATGGAACTATGTCTGTATCCATCTGTAAAGATCCACTTGCTTCAAAACGCTACAGTGTAAACCCATTTTTATAGTAAATCACCCGCATAGATTATACATAGAAAATATTTTCAAAAAGAAAAAAATTCTCTAATCTGCATCACTTCATTTTCTAATTTCCTACTATGTACTTTCGAAAGTCTCCTCGCTTTCTTTTCTAATTCTCAAAATAAAAGAATATTAAAAAAACAGTCTCAGTCAATATCTCTAAGATAACTACCCAACATAACCATCCTGGACAAAACTAGTGTTTGCAGACAAGACCCCCAAACTACACCAACACAGGTAAGCCCAAGTGTGACCAGTGGAGGAACCAGCCTGTCAACTGCAAAAATGTATTTTTAAGCCATTGCATTTGGGGAAGATTTTAGGAAGCAAAACAGAGAACTGATCAAATACACAGGAACTTTTCCTCAAAACCTTTTTTGAGAAAAATGAAGGTCAATTTCTTTTTGTAAGATTGAGTGTGGTGGCACAAACCTGCAATCACAGTTATTTAGGAGGTAGCTATATAGGAGGATCATAGTTCAAAACCAGCCTGGGAAAAAGCACAAGATGGAAAGCACTATCTGGAAAATGATCCAAAGCCAAAGGTACTAAGAGGATGGCTGATGTGATTGCCTTTTACTTAACAAGTTCATTCCCCAGTTCTATACTGAAGACCTAATTCATTCTGTTTTTATACATTGCAATAATTCAATACATATACAGTGCATGACTTGTCATGGGAAGCAAACGAGAACAACCCAGGCCACAGGATGACTATGGTCTCACCAATTATATAGGATGATTTCAAATGCTGTCTTGAGACATAATAAAGACTTAGGTCAACCATCCTATATACACCCTTCTGAGCACAACCATCTCTCTAGTTACCCAACAGACTGAAAATCTAGGACATACTTAATTTTAAAACTCAGGGTTACAATTTAAGCACATTTCATAAGATTAACCTCAAGAAAAAGGGAAACAATAGAACAGTATATGAATGTAGTATGACCCATGGGACAGGAGGTAGAGTTTGAGACCACAGTGCCAAAGCCTACTCCAGTATAGAAAACAATCAGAGGACTTTGTAGATGGCTATCCCCATTCTTCCAAATGAGATTGCTATGTCACATACCAGTCACATAACAGGGATAATTTTTATATAGTTATTTATTATTACCATGCCTTCCAATGATAGTTCTTTAGTATTATTGTTTTCTTGATTCAATAACTTTTGTGACTCATTGTTTGGTAGTACCTTCACCTTGAATTATACTTGGTCTGATCATACTTTAATCATATAAACTTCTTTATGCTTAGTTTTCAAATTGTTTTTAATTTATTTTAAAGTGTCTTTATATATATACTCATATATATGTATATATATATATATATATACTATATACAGTATATACATATAGTCACTGTTTTTAGTCTACCTGATAATATTTGTTTTATAGTTTGAAAATTTGGCTCATTTACATCTCATTCTAGTGGCTCATTCTTTTTTTTGGGGGGGGTCCGGTTGTGGGGCCTGAACTCTGGGCCTGGGCGCTATCCCTCAGCTCTTCAGCTCAAGGCTAGCGCTCTACCACTTGAGCCACAGCGCCACTTCCAGCTTTTTTCTTTTTGCTTATGTGGTGTTGAGGAATCGAACCCAGGGCCTCATGCATGCAAGGTAAGTGCTCTACCACTGAGCCACCTTCCCAGCCCGGCTCATTCTATTTTTACAGTCTGTTCTTTTTTCAGCTTTTTCTGCCTTATTTTGTTTTGTTGGATAAATAATTTCACAATCTACTTTAATATTTGTGTGGCTTAAGCACTTTTAAACATGTGTGCTACATTTAGAGATACATTAGATATTACAATATTTGTTTTTAACCTATCAGAGTCTATACTCAAAAAATATTCCATCACTTCACGAAAAAAATTCAATACTTTTGAAAATGTTTTCAGTGAATAACCCTAAACCCCTGCCATTCTTTTTGTTATATATTATCTCTACATATAATACATATGACACTATGTTATTTTGGGGCTGGGAGCATAGCTCAAGTGTTAGGTAGGCCTAGAAAGCACAAGGCCTAAATTTAAACTCTAGTATCAAAGAAGAGAGAGAGAGAGAGGGAGGGTGGGAGGGAGGGAGGGAGGAAGGAAGGAAGGAAGGAAGGAAGGAAGGAAGGAAGGAAGGAAGGAAGGAAGGAAGGATCCCTGTAGTTTGTGCTTGTTTTCCCACTAAAAGCATATTACTAACACTTTGGGAGTAGATTACCTGACAAAAAAGGATATAACCAGATGAAAAACTACTAGCTGTCTGTAGGCAGCATCTTAGAAAGAGATCGGAGCCTATAGAATGAGTGGGCATCAATGATACACAGTAGAACCCAGAACCAACTGTATTAATTAGGAATGACCTGGAGCATGGACTTATCCTTTGGAAATGAGACTGATAGATAGACAGAGACAGCAGAGAGACAGAGATCACTCTATAAAGGAAAGATACTGAGACATGATTCATTTCACTTTTAATTTCTCTCTTCATTCATGTTCCCTCTACCCCCCCCACCCGCCCGTGTCCCACTTTATGGTTGAATCTGCCACAGTGCGGATATTTTTGGTTATCTTGTAAATAAGACATGCAAATTTTAAACTTACATATTTTTAAAAAGTGCCAGAACTTAATTTTATATGCTGAACTAGTAAGCAGGACAATTTAATTGCAATTATAATCTACTAAGAACATTTGAAGTTCACAATATTTCATATAATCTTCACAATAACTTGGTGTGATGGATGCAATATTTTTGAGAACCATTATGTAAATGAAATGCAGAGTTAATTTAAGCCTCTTTAGATGACCCAGATTCAGATTCCAGTTAGCACATAGTGATTTTTTCAAACATTTTCAAACAAAAATAAAAACTGCCAATCTATTCCTTTCTCTGTGAAAATTAAAATGAAACATCTTACTGTATAATAAGTAAAAGGACTTGATGAAGAAGTAAAGCTTTAAATTTTTCATGCCTTCCATGAATAACTGATAATTATTATAGGCACCTGAATTATTTTACATATTTCCATACATGTGAAGCTAGGAGAGCCTTGGAGAAACCCAGTAATTTTACAAGACTGTGGGAGAGGAGAACTCCCTACCCCATACTAGGAAAGAAGAAACACTTAGGGTGGAGGAGGGAGAGAATGAATATAGGGACTTTTGTTGCACAGTGAATAAGCCTTCAAAGAGATCTTAAGTGAAATTATGGTTTTTTAATGGTTGCAAATATCCTTCCCTTCTGTAAAGATTTAATTTGCTTATTTATATGTTAGTACATGTACATTTATTTATGCTTTGAATGTAGTATGTTACCACATGAGAGGCAAGAAAAATACTTCATGCACACAGTCAAAAGAATAACTGATAGATACATATACTCCTATTACTATGCACACATGAACATTTAAAGGTCAATGTTAAGACTAAAATAAAAGTGGACTTCATTAGCATTAATGGCCAGAAATATCAAATGAAAAGTTTAGCTTCAATTACAACCTTTTCTTTATTTTCTGGGCAGCATACTTACAAAATCGAAATAACAATGAGAATAAACTTACATGACTTGGAGTCTGGTGATGAGGGAGAAATACTGGACACTGCAAGGTCACTTTTCGACTTTTTAGGCTTTTTTGCATTTAACTGCCAAGGTTTATCATAGCCTCTGAAGTCTCTCCTTGTTCCTTTAGCTTCTGTTCAGACCAAATACACACAACAACACAGTAATAAGGATGAGGGAATCCTAATTACAATATGCATCATTTCATGATTTAAGAAGGAGGGAGGATACTACTAAAAAGAAGTTACGGAGAAATGAGACATTTGGATTATAAATATCTATATTCCTTCCTTCTTGCTACTTTTGACAAGAATAAAAATCACATTAATTAAATAATCTAGCAAGGCTATCATTCCTATCCAGTTGGTCAAAAGGGTGGGGGGAGGAGTTGGGGAGGTGGAGAGGGAAGGGATGATAGGGGAAAACAAAGGAGGAGGTAACAATGCTCCATAGGAAATGTACTCATTACCTTACTCATGTAACTATAACTCCTTTGTTCCATATCTTTACAATAAAAAGCATATATTAAAAAAGAGGTGCAAGACAGGTTAGCCAAGATCCATAGGATATGATTGAAATAGAAATTTTCAACAGAAATCAGATTTCACCTCTAAAATTTTGAGAGAAAAATAACTAAAATAGTTTTGGCTATATGGTGAGGGAGAAATATGATTATCTACATTACCTATTGACAATCCTAAAACTAGATAAAACACGTCATATTTAAATGTGAACAAATAGGGGAAAACACAATATAAAAAACAAAAATACAATGCAGATACACAGAACTCGTACTTTTTAAACCATTAGATGCCACGAGACAAATGTTTGGTCATCTCAATAAAAATAAAAGAAAATGAACTCTAAGAAATTAGGGAGGTGATACCCTGAGTAACCTATGATTCAAATGTAAGTGCACACAGAAAATTTTAAGTGAGACAATGAAGTACTGATAGAAAACTAAACTGCAGTGTCACCTTCAAATGTGTTTTTCAAAGCCAGAAAAGGAAAATGGGTAGTATGGAACATTGAATCAGACACTTCACAAAATAATGCTCCTTAGATAAAGGCTGAGGAAATAAGGGCAAACCAAGGCCACATCAAAGGAGATAAGTGAAGACAAGTGAACAGACTCAACTTAAACATAAATGATTTTCCTGAAAAAAAAAAAGTGGTGTCAGTATTTGCCACCCCCCAACCCTGCCAAACTTTTGAATATCAACAGTAAAGAGGAAAACCCCATAAGTATCCCCCAAGATGAGTTTCTTTTTATTTTTAAAAAGGAATAAACATGAGGCTGCTTTCAGGTTTTTCCTTCGCAATATTAAGGGACACACTTGTGTCTGAGTTACTAGATACACATGAAGACAAAAGTACATCTTAGATATTTTCAATGTATTAGGCCTTTAACCAGCCGCTGGTGGCTCTTGCCTGTAAGTAGAAGAAAGGTGATGGCATCATCCCCCCCAAAAGCATTTGGGACTCTAGACAGTCAGACTACCAGGAGAATTAGGTAAGGAGCTGAAAAGATTTGGGTTTGCAATTGAATGGCAAACAAATAAAACCATGTGTAGAAAAGGCACGGTCAAGCAAGTCTATTTGATTATCTCACCACTGTTTGTGGGGATATGAAGATTGGAAGGTTTTTCCTCTCCCATGTTCAGAGTCTAAGTGTCCCTAAAGTTAAATTTACTGCATAGGGCAAGATTGGAGTTAGGAAAACAGAAATGATCCTCAGTTTAGTGAATAAGAAAAGTAATTTTATAGATACCTACTTTTTATTTTCCTACACTGATAAGCTGTAAATTTTTAGTTGAAATTGCTCATAAAAAAGAAAAAAGTTAGGGTATGAATGCATACAGCATGCAATCTTTTATGCAAACCTGTATAATTTTTATTAAAAAGGAACACACTGCTTTCCATATTCTTTCCATATTTGAGTCACAATACATTATAATATAATTCAAACTCAAGAATCTTCTATGTCATATTTTAGCATCTAGGTATTGTCAAAGATGAATACATGAGATTTGTCATTTAAAAAACCAAAAATGTTGACCAAGTAGCAGTGGCTCACTCCTGTAATTCGAGCTACTCAGGAGGATAATATCTGAGGATAAAAATTCAAAGCCAGCCCAAGCAGACAAAACTGAGAAACTTTTATCTTCCAAGTAACCAGAGAAAGGAGATGTGGCTCAATGAATAGTGTCAGCCTTGAGGGGAAAGTCTAAGAAGGGAGAACCAGAACAAATCACATTAGATGTACCCCCAAATTAACTGAAATGAATATATCCTTCACATTTACCTGATATTTCACTTTCAGCCCAAAGAGCTGCAGATCCAGACAATGTTCTCTGTAGCTGTCCACGGTTTCCTTGTTTAGACTGAAGGTGGTCAATGAGAAACGGGATTGGCTGGTCAGGTGTCTCTGTGATTAACTTGGTCATTAGTTCCTGAAGGCAGAAGAGAGAACACATTTACATCTAATAATGGCAGCTACAATAACAGCAAACATTAGCTTAACATTGACAACTACTGGACACTGCTCTGTTTATAAAAAATAGTTCATTTCAACCTCATAAGAATCATTCCAGGGCTGGGAAGGTGGCTCAGTGGTAGAACGCTTGCTTTGTATGCATGAGGCCCTGGGTTCGATTCCTCAGCACCACATAAGCAAAAAGAAAAAAGCCGGAAGTGGCGCTGTGGCTCAAGTGGTAGAGTGCTAGCCTTGAGCTGAAGAGCTGAGGGACAGTGCCCAGGCCCAGAGTTCAGGCCCCATGACCAGACGCCCCTCCCCCCAAACCAAAGAATCATTCCAGGAAGGCACAAATTAGTTCTAGTTCTCAATTTTGTGTAAGCAGAAGTGCAAAAAAAGAAAACTGTCTATGTTATTTAGAGAAAATGTGGCAAACTAAGACACCTTTATTTCTATTCCTTTAATTATTATACTTGTTAAAATATACTCAAAAGTTTATCTAAATTATTTTTAAAACATATTGTCTCAAGAGTTTAAAATTTTAGACTACACACAAAAATTAAATACTTTATATATTAATGTCACACTTCCTTCTTACTAATATATTAATATCCACAAATGAAGAAAACTTTGTTGGATGAAAGAAATGGGTAATAAGCCCCAGGGCCCCAGGTTCACAGAATACAGTTATGTCTTAAATAGTCTCCAAACAACATGGAATTTTCTTTTTAATGAAAAGTTCAGTCTGATGACTAAATTCTATCTGTCTTTGTCTCTATTTCTCTGTTTCTCTTTTTCTTTGTCTCTGTTTCTCTCTTCTCATTCTCCTGACTTAAGCAATACTGAGGTCTCTGCATACAGATATTCTATTTTCCCCTCACCTTTAGATACTCTAATGATCCCTTACACTACGCAGAAATCTAACCTAGGGTAATGTGTGAACACTGGTTTTGTTTTTCAGTCAGAAAGGGTGAAGAACAATTTAGAATTTGTGTTCAGTTAGAATCCCCAGATTGTGGGGAGGTGAGCCACTGTCACACCACCACACCACATGGCAGCATTTTGTGCCTTGTACTTTGGTTTGTAAAATCACATGGCCTGTTTTACATTCCTATCTGTCACGTCCCATCTTGTTGCTTTCAGACCAGAATCTGAGAGTGTCAATTGCCATTTTATCCTCAGCTTCCCTGAGAGACAGTTGTTTTAGTAAGATAGAAAAATCAGATATTTGAGGTTATCTTGGAAAGGGTACTAGGAATCTCCTCCTCTTTATTGTCCTTGTGTTGGTGGTGAACCATTTCTCCTCCTGGAGGGCTCTACTCTCAGGTGTTAAGAGAATGTCTTATCAGTCAGATTCCATATGTATTCAAATTTTTTTTTATTTCATGCGATTGTTTCTAACACATTTATAAGATTATTTCTTTGTTGCTTTGTATGTCCCTCCTCCCACAGCATAACCCCTGCTTTCACTGTATTTGATGTCGGTATAATTTGTGTAGGGGAAGGGGAAAAACAAGTCGTTTAAATAAGGATACAGGTGGACCCACTGCAACAATGAGATGTACAAGTCTTTATGTCGAAAAATGAACTTTACAACTTTGGTGGGGGAGGGAAAGGGTAGCGGGGAGGATTGGGTGGAGGGGTGGGGAGAGGATGGGAAGGGATGGGAAGGGGAAACAAAGGAGGAGGCTACAATGGTTGATAAGAAATGTACTCATTATCTTGCCCATGTAATTGTAACCCCTCAGTACAGTATTTTCACAATTAAAAAAAATTAAAAATAGAAGTCTTTATCATTCTATAACTGGATTCCTGAGCCAAAGGCTTTACTCTGGGGAATCCATTTCAGGTCTGACCACTCAGCACAAAGAAATTAAACAAAAGTAAAGGTGGAAAGTGGAAATAGAGAAAAGAAGCTTAATCAAAATGTGAACTTAGGAATACTACGATCAAGCACTTTAGTCCATAATGCAGCATGAGGTACTGACATGAGATTTAGTTTTATTTTATTTTTTTATTGTGAAAATACCATACAGAGGGGTTACAATTACATTGGCAAAGTAATGAGTGCATTTCTTATCAAGCATTTTTGCCTCCTCCTTTGTTTCCCTTTCCCATACCTTCCCATCTCCCTACCCCCACCCCCCCTTCCCACCAAAGTTGTAAAGTTTGTTTTTCGACATAACGACTTGTACATCTCATTGTTGAAATGGGTCCACCTGTATCCCTATTTAAATGATTTTTTCCTTCCCCTCCACAGATTATACCAATACAGAAAGAACTGATGTAGAAGGCAGAAGTATGCATAAGTAGGCAGTCATGTCCGAACTGTGATCTGTTGGATCATTATCTAAGTTTTAGATCTGCGATATGGCTATGCAGAAGTCCTTATGAATTAAGGGAGACAATAAAGTTCTCAGGAAGTAATTGTCTCTCAGCTTTGAGTAATCTGTGGAACAGTGCAGATCCTGAAATCCAAACTGAGTACTGGTTTAGGACAGTGACTAGAGGCTTTCATATATCTTTTTAGGGTCTGGGGCAGGATACTAAAAACTGACAGCAAAATATCTTACTCTCTGAACATTCAGCCTTAAAAGCTTACTAGATAGGGTATATATCAGCAGTTTTTAGACAGATGTTTATGGAATGGTGGACTTGCCAGCATAAAGAGTTGAGCAGGAATCTGAGCCAAAATAAAAGAAAATTACAAAATAAAGGCAGAGCTACCAAGTTGTTATTCTGCCTTGCGGGCCCAAGTACTTTTGTTGTTGTTTCAAACAAAATCAGCTTCTATGTCCATGTTACAATCTTAATATTTTCTTCTTCATAGCAGTTAGTTAGCACTGTTCTATTGCTAAATCTTTCTCACCTATTAGTTAGCTGTTCTTTGTCCTCTAGTACAATGCTAGAATAAAATGTTTGCCTGGTTTGTGCTCTCCTTTCAACCTATGGTATCTGTCAAGCTTACAGTTGGTGTACTTAAATAGAAAATAAATGAATGAATACTTGGTTTAATATCTACCTGTAGGCAGAATTAGATATTAAAGATCATTATTATACAACAATTAAAAACATTCACGTTTTTAACCAGGAAAAATATAATCTGTTGATCTCCTATACAAGAAAATACTGTCATGATTACCTCAGGGATATTTCTGTACATTGATAAAAGTCTAGGTATAGGAGAATTTATCTGAGTAGAAGATAAGTGAGTTTTGTAGATGATAAGATCCAAAATTGGTTTTGGAAACATGAGTAAAATAATTCAGAATATCTCAAAAATGTGCAGAATACAGAGTTGGAACGCAAAACAGAAAAGTAGGGGCAGGGAGCCTTGACATAAATGTGCTGGATATAAAGCATTTATTAGATAAAAATAATATTTTTATATTCTGAAAAACAGGAAAGTAAAGAAATAGTTGGCATAGATCTTATATATTTCTTCAGTTGAAAGAATTAATTATTAGCTGGGTGCTGGTGGCTCATGCCTAAAATCCTAGCTACTCAGGAGGCTGAGATCTAAAGATCTGTGGTTCAAAGCCAGCCCAGGCAGGAAAGCCCAGGATTCTCTTATCTCCAATTAATCACCAAAAAGTTGGAAGTAGATCTGTGGCTCAAGTGGTAGAGAGCTAACCTTAAAGGGAAAAAAGTTCAGTAATAGACCCCATTGAGTTCAAGCTCTAGGACTGGCAAAAATGTCAATTATTATCACAACTAAATAGGCATTTCTCTACTTTGTAAGGGTAATTGTAAATCAGTGCAAGGTTCCATTAGATTCCTATTATACAACCTATTATATAAAACATTTCAGATTATCTATAGGAAAGAAATAATATAGTTCCATTTGAGTTCACTGTAGATTACAAAGATCACTAGAGAATGAAAAGTACAAAGAAAGGACAAGCTATACTATTCTTGTCACAAAAACTCCTGAGCACTAAGATAGAACAAAATTAGGTCAGATAAAAGGATTCCAGAACCACATCATTTTTTTCCTCTGGAGAATTTGAACACTTTTATGTGCTTTTTAAAAAATATTATTTTTCAAATTACATGGACAATTTCTGTATTTTTCTTCCTTTTAAGCAAACTGAAATGTCTACAGTTTCTGGAAGAAGAAGTTCATACTCTCAAGAAATCAAATAATATCTATAATAACCATCAATTATAGGACATAGATCAGGTTTAAAATTAGGGTATATATAGGGTATATATCAGTTTTAGGGTATACTTATATTACATTAATAAATATATGAAATAAATAAAGATACAAAATAAATTCAGTTATAAGCCACATGAAAACAGTCCTGTTTACAGTAATGTATCTCAGGCTACACTATAGTTTTCGATAACTGCGCTCACAAAAGGAATTACCCTACATCTCACTTAAGCCACGTATCTATTGTTCATTAAGACTCAAATAGGGGCTGGGAAGGTGGCTCAGTGGTAGAACGCTTGCCTTGCATGCCTGAGGCCCTGGGTTCGATTCCTCAGCACCAATAAGCAAAAAAGAAAAAAGCCGGAAGTGGCGTTGTGACTCAAGTGGTAGAGCGCTAGCCTTGAGCTGAAGAGCTGAGGGACAGCGCCCAGGCCCAGAGTTCAGGCCCCACGACCGGACCCCCCCCAAAAAAAAGACTCAAGTAGTGTTGAGGGCATAAACTTGCAGAAATCTCTTTTCTGGACATGAACATGTAAATCCTTAGATTTTCAATGATGCTTCTGGAAATGAAAAGACTGATTTCTTTCTCCAGTGGAATGTCCGTACACAAAAATAGAACTGAGGGACTGATAGGTTTGAGGAGTGAGACTAGAGATATGCCGCTTGAATGACAAGACAGGGCCAGAAACTCACTGCAGAAAGTTTCCAGCACAAGGAAGAAAGTATTCCAATGCAGTAAGCCAGTGTGAGGTGCAGAGGCTGAATGTCCTTGAACAGTGTGCACCAAGGGAAAACTGGCTCATCACAGATACTTAGCT